CTTGCTGCGTCTATTTAAAAGCGTGCTGCTGCTATTAACAAAGCTATAAAAGAAGTACGAAAATGCTACGCCGCGAAGCAAGTTAAGGACGCGCTTAAGAAGAAGAATAAGTTAATTACGGAGCATACTTTAAACCTTTTTATTAGTTTACGAGTATTCGTGTAACGGGAAAACCAAAAGTAGAAAGGCTTTTTTCAGCTGCTTAATAAGCAAGGGCATACGTATATAATATAGAAGCACTAAAAAGGACGTGTCATACAGAAGCTTGACACTGAGGCTAGACCTTATAGTCTTACAAAGAAATATTAAAAAAGATAGGTGGAAAGCTCGTTGATTGTTCTAGCTAAGAAATGTATGCCCTTTTATAAAAGATAAGTTCGTTTAGTATGGCTTTAGTAGCTATGGCAGGTACTTTATTAAGCAAGGTGTTTACATCCGTCTTCTTATAGAATAAGTAAGCGCCCCCGCTTATTATCAAGCAAGAAGAGAAAAAAAAAAGGTATAGAAAAAAGAAAAAATCTAATATATAAAAAAAAAGAGAAGTATCTTGTTTCTAAACTCTAAACATTTAAACTACGCTTCGGCAGCTCTTTCGTGATCTCTTTTCGTACTTCCGTCTTCAATTCCTTCGTTCTCTTTAAGTTGAAAAGGTCTTCTTCTTTTAGCAAAGCTAGCATTAAATAATAACGTATTAACAGCAGCATCTTTAAAAGTAAAAGAGCGCGTATCGTTCTTGCGCTTGTTGCCGATAGCATCGTTAATAAGTATGAACTTAGTTAACGGAAGGTTAGCAAAGCTAAAATAAAGTCTAAAGCTATTAGTTAAGTCGTTTTCGTCTTCGAGCAAGTCATCTAAAGCCTTTATAGCTTTATCGAATGCGCGGTTTAAGGATTCCGGTTAAGAAGATAATACTTTAAGATCGTCGATTTAATTCGTAAACCGTAGTTTACGAGTAGATTTCGCACTTTTTAAATTGATCTTTACATTTAAATCAAAGTTATTAAAAGACAACTTAATCGATCGCATGCTTTCTTTAAAATCCTTTAACTTATCGGCGTCTATAAGATCGTCAGCTCGGCGGCTCTTGCTTTTAAAAAAAGACTTAGCTCCGTAAGTCTTAGCTTTAATATTCAAGATAATAGCAAATCCTTTTTTAAATGCCGAAAACAACTTTTTTTATGCTTAATAAAGTGTTTTTAAAATTAAGTCCGAGATATAGCAAAAATAGCGGTTAATTCTTTTATCATTAGAAGTTCGTTCTAATTTATTTTTCCGATTAAAGCTTTCGATACGTAACTAACGTAATTTAATGAAATTATAACGGCGAAAGGTTAGCTTGATTTACTAGGGCAGAGGACCAAGTTCTTTGTAGTGTCACTAACGGGCTAATTACTTATTAGTATATTATTAAATTAGATTTTTATACAATTAATAATTAGCCCGTTGATAATATTATATCGGAATTTATGTTTTGCTAAATATTAAACTTATTAAATAGATCGTAAAATAAAAGTAAATATATATAAAAGTATTATTATATTAAAAACTATCGAGTTTATAATTTATTATAAGGGGGAGACCCCCTTAAACCCTCCTTTATTATTCATCTTTTCATTTTTATACCGGGGAGACCCCGGACCCCCTTTATTACTCATAATTATATATTTACTTATATTACGAAAATATTAGAGGTTACAGAAGTTACAGAAGTTACAGAAGTTACAAAAGTTACAGAAGTTATAAAAGTTACAGAAGTTACAGAAGTTACAAAAGTTACAGAAGTTACAAAAGCTACAAAAATTATAAAAGTTATCATCGAGTTTATATTTTATTATAAGAAGGAGACCCCCTTAAACCCCCCTTTATTACTTATCTTTTCATTTTTATACCGGAGAGACCCCGGACCCCTTTTATTACTCATAATTATATATTTACTTATATTACGAAAATATTAAATGTTACAGAAGTTACAGAAGTTACAAAGGTTATAAAGGTCACAGAGGTCACAAAGGTTACAAAAGTTACAAAAGTTATAAAAGTTATAAAAGTTATAAAAGTTACAAAGGTCATAAAAGTTACAAAATTTATAAGAGTTATCAAGTTCAAGAATATTTATTAAAAGGAGTTTAAACTCGAATCTTTAACTCAGCTGTTAAAGGTGCACTTAAAAAAGGAAGAGGAAGAAGAAGAAGAAGGTCTCGAGCAAGAAAAGAAGGTCCACGTTTCTTACGTAAGCTTTTCTTAAACGTAATATACTTTTGAAGACCTTACCGACAGCGAGCATACGCATCCTTAGAATTAGATATTTATGCTTTACCGGCCGAAGAGTATGCTTAGCACTCTTAACGAGCAACGGTACACGCATCGCAAAGCGAGTCTATTAGCTCACTTTTATATATTTATATTAGCTCGAGGTTGCTAAAAAACAAAAGAAAGTAAAAGGTTAATGCTTATAATTCGGTCTTTATAATACGGCCGACGTAGCCGATAATAGCACGGCGAAAAGAAAAGAGCTTTAATAAGTCCGATTGCTTATACGACTATTATATGCTTGTAGCGGAAAGCGTATATAAGTCTTTGTTTTTCTTTTAAGTAGTTTAAGCTTAAAAGAGACGCGCAAACTCGGCAATCGATTAAGCTTGTTCAAGTTGAGCTTTAGTAAAAAGGGTCTTTCTATTAACGGCCGACGAAAACGCAAACATTTATTAATCTAATTAATAAGCATTAATAAAAAATATGAAATATACTTACGCTTATGCTTTATTATAAAAATAAGATCGGTTTAAAGCTTATAAAGCGAAGGGTAGCAAGTGGCGTAGCAAAAGAAAGCACGGCGGCGGCGAAGAATATAAAAGCCGGAGCGAAGCTAAGAGCCGGGACGTTAATAAAAATCGATAACGCGAAAAAGACGAAGAAAAAAGAAAAAGGAGAGCGAAAGATCATTAGCTCAATTATATCGTCGTCGTCTTCGTCTTCGAATTTATATATATATATATTATTAACGTAAGTAGCTCGAATGTATCACTTAATCTTAAGATGACTTACGTTGCGAGCTTAAAATCTTTTATCACTTTATCTTTTATTACTTTATTTTCTTTTACTTCTCTCTCAACCTCTCTTACTGCTAAGTCTATAACAAAGAGAAAGAGAAAGAGAAGAAAAGGCAAAGCAGCAGCGAGAACGGCGAAGACGGCGGAGACGGTATGAAAAAGGGAAAGGGAAAGAGAGCGAAAGATCATTAGCTTATTCTTATTATCGTCGTCTTAATTAAATCTATATATAATATTAGCGTAAGTAGCTAAAGTGTATCACTTATCACTTATATCGCGGGCTTAACTAAAGCAATAAGCAAGGCAACAAGCAAGGCAATAAGCAAAGCAACAGGCAAGGCTTGTTAAGAAGGAAGGAAAGGGTGTAAAAGCAGCCACTGCTGCCTGCGAAGTAATTGTACTTGCCGCTTATAAGCCGGATTCGGCCGACCTACCCGCCTTGTATAAGGTCCGTCTCGAAAGTTGCGCTAGCGGAATAAGATCATATTGCTAATATAGTTGTAGTTATAGCTAAAGTTAAGGTTGAAGTTAAGGTTGATATTGATATTGATATTAATATTAAAGTTAAAGTTAAGGTTAAGGTTAAAAAGAATATTTAAGTTATAGTAAATATTGAAAAGTGATAGACGAATTCACTTTTTAAAAAGGTCCGTGCTTAGCCAAATTCTTATACTTGCCGTATTCGTCGGTATAGCAATATATTTATATAATATTTTATATAATAGCTTGTAACTCTTGTAGCTCTTATAACTCTTATAACTTTTATAACTTTTATAACTTTTATAACTTTTATAACTTTTATAACTTTTATAACACAAGTAAATTTTCGCTTTTATTAAATCTATCGGCTTAGTATGTATAATCATATAAAATTATTAAGTTATAAAAGTTATAGAAGTTACAAAAGTTATAGTTGATTCGGCGCAATTAACCGTACAATATAAATACATTATTTACCCTTAATTAATTGCTAATAGCTATACAACCTTTTTTAATAATAAACCATTCTTGTACATTTTATAATTCGTTAAGCTTATACTCTTCTATAGCTATCACTCGATAAGACTTAAGCTCGATTTGTTTATAAGCTTTTAAACTTTGCATAACCTTTTTTATACGCTTATTTAATATCTATAAGCGCTAAAAGGTGCGCTTATTACGACAATTATAACAAGTATATAAGTTATCGAGCTCTTTTTACAAGAATACACTTAAATAGCTTTAGTAAAGTTCGTCCGCTAATTTAATTATATATTCCGATATCATTACATCTATTAAGTTGCTAACTAAACCTTTTCGAGCTGTATCTCGAATAAAGTATTCTTTAGCTAGCTTATAGCGTCGTTAATAACAGCAATCTAAGCAAGTAGTAAATCGCAGACTAGTGTTTAAGATAAAGAAGTATAGCAATAAGCGGAAGCTGCTGCACTTAATGCATTCGATTTTAATAAGTCTTTTAAATAGTTAAGCAAATGCGAAAAGCGCAAGACGCGGTAGAGATTGATAAATCGTATCTATGCTTAGCTTAAAAGTCGGAAAGAATAAAAGAAGAAGCAAATCTAGCGCTAATTCTAATGCTTTTGCTTTAGCTTTGATTTTATTAAATTGCTCGATCTGCTTAAATGCGCGGTATACTTTAAGATCGTCGTATATTTTCTTATCTTTATACGTCGTGTATATAAACTTAAAAAGATCCGTAAGTATAATATCTTAGCCTCTTTCTTTGCTTACTTCGCTTTGTTGTTTGCTTTAAGTATTATCTTATGTTTTATTATTGCTTACTTCGCTTTATTCTTTGCTTTAAGCATTATCTTATATCTAATCATTGCTTTAAGTATTATTATTAATTTGTTAGCTGCTTTAAGCATCGATGAATCCTTCGAAGTTGATTTTATTTATAATACGGGTTATCTCGTCGTTATTACCGAAAAGATCGAGTGACTTATATCGTTAGCGTAGCAAGCTGGATAATAATGCTATAAAGGCGCGTGATGAGGTTGCGTAGTAAAGGTCGTCTAGTAAAAGAATTTTTAATAATAGTATAATAGCCTCCTTTTCCTTCTCCTTAATCTCCCCTTCCTCAATCTCCCCCTCTTTAATCTCCCCTTCCTCAATCTCTCCCTCCTCAAGCTCCCCCTCCTCAAGCTCCTCCTTATCAAGCTCCCCTTCTTCAAGCTCCTTCTTATTAAGCTCCCCTTCGTCAATCTTTTCTTTTTCGATATAATTAATAATACTCTGTGTCTTTTGCTTCGTATTCATAATAACAATAAGAAAAGCGATAAATGATTTATTGTTATATATTATTTGATTTCGATATATCGTAAAAGCAAAGTGTTTAGATATAAAAAAATTATTATATTAAGGCTAAGTGCACGTGCAAATAAGCCTTTGTTTGAATTAAGCGAGGTACAAAAGCTTTTTATTAGTTCTTGTAACTTTTATAATTCTAATAACTTTTATAACTTTTATAACTTTTATAACTTTTATAACTTTTATAACTTTTATAACTTTTATAACTTTTATAACTCTTGTAGCTTATATAATATATATATATTTATACGTTTTACAACCGCTATGCAAGCTAACCCCGATACATATGATCTATGTCTCGATCAATATTAGTACTAATAGACTTCTTTTTAAACCGATAAAAATTAAACACATTCTTAAACATAATCTCCGTTAAAGTCTTTATTTTAAAAGCTGAAACATAATATAGCTTACCAGGGCAAAGGACCAAGTTCTTTGTAATTGTCACCAACGGGCTAATTACTCGATTATAAAAATCTTTATATATTTAAGTAAATTATAAAATAAATAATAATAGAATCTAAATAAATATAAAGGTAGTTAATATAAGAGA